GTTAACCCAAAACGTAAAAAAGGGATCAAAACTCATACGAATGTCTAGTTTTTGGCGCTTTTTGCCATTATTGCTCGTTATTGAAAAAAAAATCCTCTTAAACTATTAATTAACCATCAAAGTTAAAGGTAAAATGTACAGCCATCTATTCTGAAGAATATCTATCTTTACCTAGGATGTACTAAATTAAGGCAGCGTAAATTTAAATTTTTTTAAATAACGTATCTTAAATTCTATTAATATCACTACTTCACTATAAATACTCGACTTGGACTCAGAGTTCCCTAGCTATATCTATTTCATTATWATGACATATCATTATTCTATTAACTATAAATATAAAACGAATCGCGCATTTCCACTAAACAAGACGATACTGAAAAATTCTTATATCTTTCCTGGCTTGTTTTTTTGTCTGCTGGTTAGGTTCGGGGATTTATGCTGCCAATAAAAATAAAGGTTAACTACAACAATAACCATGCATRTATGAAAATAAACATTTATAATGAGTTTTTCGAAGTAATCCACAACAACTGTAATGTTACAGCTTTCCTAACTTGTCTTGTTGCATCCCATATTTTAAATATATTACGAACGTTACAAAATAGTGAATAGATTTTTAGTAATGCAGCATGTGTAAATATAAATTAGATAAGGACTGCTGACCAATATTTAGTAAGCAGCCAAACGCCTGTCCGCTAGGGCAATATTCAACTCAATTTTGTATAACGAATTTTAACCTACGGTTACATTTTGTTGACTCATAAATTTATGGCCAGTAATGCCACAGGTAGCTCAAACTTGGCTTCTGTGGTTTCATTCTATAAGGAAATGTATGGGGCTTCATCAAAAATTTCAATAAAATCATTTTACCCGATCATTTTACCCGAGAAATAGCACTTCTTTCGCTCTCTGTGATTATTTTTTTTAATTTACCCCGTTTTAAGGATTTTCCCCCCACCAACTGCAGTAAGAAATAAGAGAAAGTTGGAGAATCGGTATCCCAACAGCGAACCATCACGGGTCTTTGAAACTTCGTACGTCTTCGAATTTTCTTTCAAGCGCCAAATTTTAGTCATAACCCCTCTCTCACATCCCCTTAGAACCGAGAAAGTCGCATTAGAGATTAGTATTTGCGTCTTTAAGCCATGAAATTTGCCTGTGTTCACATACTACCTCGCTTGTTCTGACTACTTGGAGCTCACTGTACACCAGTTCAACGGATCTTTCGGCAACCGACCCGAGGTCACGTCGGAAGTCTTCGTATCGTAAATGTGGATTTGGGTATAGCCTTTCTTCGAAATTATGCTGAGTGTATTTTTTAACGGCTTAAGATACAAAAATATTTAACATCTTCCAAATAGGCAAGACTTGGACCAAGATAACACTGTCCCATCATTTCCAAGCTGAGACTTTAGGCGCTGTAACAAAATTGTGTATGATTTACGGTGTCAAACGCAGCACTGAGATCAAGGAGTAACTGAAGAGTTACATGCTGTTTATTCATGTTCAACGAGATGTCGTTCCGAACCTTGAGCAATGCTAACTCTGTGCTATGATGCTGCCTGTAAGCAGACTGGAAGACAGGGAACAATGCATGACGAGTCATGTGAGATTGAATTTGCACTGCAACAGCTGTCTCCGTCATCTTAGAAATATAAGCTAAAGTGGTAACTGGGCGAAGGTCCTTATATGATAGATCCACACCATGTTTCTTGAGAAGTGGTGTGACCATTCCAAGTTTCTATTTCTCAGCAAACTGACCGGATTGAAGAGATYGATTAATCATAGATGTTATAACAGGAAGCAGCACATTCAAGCACTTGATCACCAACGACGTAGGCATCGGGTCAAGACGAGAAGTTTTCTTGCTAGAGTAGGTAATTAGATCACGTACCTTTTACAAGGAAAGGGACTGGAACTCTGAAAACACCACACCACAGCGAAAATCATCCTCTCTCCTTAGAACTTGGGGCGAGTCATTAATTGTTACCCAACTTAGTGTGGATGTCACATATTTTACGTACGAAATAAGTGCCAATATCATTAGCCATGGTTTTTGCGTCACATAAGTCAGGCAGGCATAAGGTCAGTGGGTCTGATAACAGACTTTTGGCTGCCCTAAACAGCTTGTCCTGGTCGGAACTGTTATTATTGATAAAGTCACAGTAGTACGTTTGTTGAGCTCTATTCATCAGCATAGCAGCGTAATTTCTGTACCAGCAATACTTTAGTGAGATGGCCCAGAAAGTTCTGGACAAGTAATGCTTCAGTGAGATGGTTCAGAAATTTCTATGCCAGTGGTGCTATCGTGAGGTGGCTCAAGTTGAACATCAAATATTATTAAAAAATTGATGCTTACGGACGATTTGGAAAACTGACTTAGGCCCCGTCCACACTATGCCGGATAAATTTGAATCCATAGMTCTTATTAACCTCATATGCTCGGTCCGTACCGTAAGTTATGGACCGAGTTTTTTTCCACTGAATTATGGCCCAAGCGCGTAGCGCGCGGGCCATAAAAGAGTGGAAAAAACGAGGATCCATAACACTGTACGGATCGAGCAAATGAGGTTAATAAGATATTTATTATATGGCAAGGCATTGAGACTAAGAAGAGGCGAAGCAACAAAAAATAAAGTTGACAGGGTATGTCAAACGAGAGCTGCATTGGAAGGGCTTCCTGTACGTGCGACAAGTCATGTAGTGTTTGAGTTGCTCAAAAAAGAAGTTTTATTTTACTTTGAATGATTTTAGCTATTGTTTAAAGTTTTCTGAAATACTAGTTAACAAAAGTGAGGCTTTCTTTTACAAAACATGTAAATGCAAAGCAAAAAAGGCATCAAAAGAAGACCTCAAGAACTCAACATGAGTTGAGAAAAAAACTGTCGTACTTCAAACTTCAAGATATTCACAACCAAGATGAAAAATACTACAGCCTTCCG